CTTTGGAACACAAACTTGGAGTAATTAGGACCCTACACCACCGGGCAGAACATGTTCCCTCTAAGCCTGAAGGAAAAAAGAAGGAACACACACATGTAAAGGAAGCACTCAAAAGGTGCGGCTATCCTAAATGGGCGTTCTTAAAGTCAGCAAAGAGGCACAGAAAAGAAGACCAGACACCAGCGAGGGAGGATAAGAAGGACAGACGCAACAACATTGTCATCCCCTATGTAGCCGGTGTATCAGAAAAACTCAGGAGAGTTTTCTCCAAGCATGACATCCTGGTGCATTTCAGACCCAGCAACACGCTCAGACAAAAACTGGTTCACCCGAAAGACAAAACGCCAAAACACAGACTTAACAATGTGGTGTATGCTGTACAGTGCAGCGAGGAATGCCCAGACCTCTACATTGGAGAGACCAAACAGCCACTTCACAAGCGCATGGCACAACACAGAAGAGCCACCTCCACAGGACAAGACTCAGCAGTCCATCTGCATCTTAGGATAAAGGACACTCTTTCGAGGATGCCAATGTTCACATTTTGGACAGAGAGGACAGATGGTTTGAAAGAGGAGTGAAAGAAGCCATCTATGTCCACTGTGAGCGACCATCTTTGAACAGAGGCGGGGGTTTACGACACCAACTCTCTGCCATCTATAATCCAGTTTTGAGATCCCTTCCCAGACGCCTTAACGCCCACTCACATCCTGGCCATCTGACCTCAGGAATTCGCATGATAAGGTGGGGCCAGGTTTTCACAATGAGCTCACTCGAAACCCTTGCTGATTGGGACCCACACCCAGTTTCACATCTTGGCTCAGGCGATTAGAGGATCATCAGGGGGTCCTTTTGTCCCTCTGTGGGGGGATACTCCCACTAGGTTTATATCTGGGACTCTCCACCATTTGACCTTAGAACTGAAGAAGCTTCTCGGATGAGAGGTGAAACGTCTTCAAGCAACTTAAAGAAGTCCAGACGCTTTTCTTTGCAAGCTCCTTTGACTAAAGAGAGGATACAATACAGTACAATACCTGTCGTCCCAGTATTACGTTGCAGTTTGAACACTCAAGAGAATCCTTGTAACATAATATTAGAAACATCAGGTTCCACATAGTTCAAGTATGGTTCCCACACCTTAAAGAATTGATCTGTTTTTGAGTGCAGTACACATGTAAGATATTCCAGTTGCACTAGATCCAACACTACTCTTTGCCAACCTTTAATAGTTGGTACTTTTTCATAAATCCATTGGAGTAGTATATTCTTCCGTGCCGCATAGGTGAGAACACAGTACAATCTCCTATTATTCTTGGATATTAATCGCCGGCTGGGGAGGCCCAGTATGAGAGACAGAGGGTCCATCTCCAATTCACAACTGAAAATCTTCTCCATTTCAGATAACATATTGACACTAACACTTTTAATAAAGCATGAGGACGTGTTCGGCACCTAGACTCAACGAGGGTGAGGGTGACACAGCTATCACTGTGTCAGCACTGCCATCAAAACAGCTATGCCTCTGAGTTCAAGCCTTAACAAAACCACTAAGTTTTAGCTAAATTCATCACCCACACAGTAGTCATGAACAAGGGCTTGCAACTTCTACAATCAAAATTGCTTAGAAAACAAAAAAAAATCTAAATCTGCACCAGTCTGCATTAGATTATGATTGCTGTTTGGCAATTTAACGGCATTTCCTTGTGCGTTTTTAATAATGCTGTCTTTTTAAAAAATATAATAAGAAGAAATGTATTTATTTCAGTTTGGGAGATTTTTTTTGTTACAGCAATTGATACAATTATAACAATAACAACAAGAAGAATTTAATATGCAATTCATTTATAAATATAAAATAATACATTATCTGGGAGACGGCCTTCTTATATCTGTGATGCAGACCTGAATCAGGTTAGCAAGTTAGAGAAGGTGCTCTGCTAGCTGTCCAATAACTGGTGCAGAGGGTGGACCTCATGATGGATGACAGTTTGCTCCGTGATCTCTCCACCACAGCTTCAAATGTGTCCAGCTTGCAGCAAATGTTATCATGTTTATTATTAATATTGTTAAGAATATTAAAAATATGAATGAACCAGTTTCAGTTGTAATTCTGGCTCAATTGCAGTTTGACATGAAGCACACGAGTAAACCAGCAGCACTGGAGGTGGAGCAAAAAAAAAAAATGTACATATTGTTACATTTAGATTTAGATCTATCACTGAGGGGGTCTCAAGACATGCTTGTTATGTGTATACATCCATGCTAACCATGGCTAGTTAATAAAATAAGATGATAAAGCAACAGAATCAGAATACTTCATTAATGCCAGAGGAAATGATGTAATGTAACAGGTGACAGATGAAGGCTACGACGCACATGTTAATGAATAAAATATGAAACTTTTTCTTAATTCAGTGTATTAGCTACATGCTTATATATATATATATATATATATATATATATATATATATATATATATATATATATATATATATATATATATATGAGAAAAATGAAATTGCATAAATAAATTAGCATACCTAGCATAGAAACACACTCTGACCCCCGATAGTAATAGTAATAGTAATCGGGGGTCAGAGTGCAGGGTCAACCAAACATTTAAAATTCTAATTCATTCTTGTCTTATACCTTGCTGTGTCATCGAGATCCTTATTTGTATCATTTTAATTTTAAACATTTCGTTTAAAATATATATTTTAAATATTGGGGTGGCTGTAGCTCAGGAGGTAGACCATCTACTAATCAGAAGATTGGTGGTTTGATCCCTGGCTGCTCCAGTCTGCATGCCAAATGTCCTTGGACAAGATACTAACCCCAGCTTGCTCTCCAACACATCTATTAGAGTGAGAATGTGTGTGAACGTTAGGTAGAACGTACATAAGCATAGAAAGAAATGTTCTTATACAAATGGGGGAATGAGGCATGCTGTATGTTGTGTAAAGGGCTTTGAGTGCTCTCAGAGAGTAGAAAAGCACCTTATAAGGATCAGTCCCTTTACGTATGGATAGGGTTTCTAGCTCCCCAGACAATAAATATAAAAATCTCATTTCTCATGTACAGGGTTTATCTACACTGTGTGATGGGTTTGACAGGCCGGCCGATTGACTCATTTGGCCTCTGATTCTGTCTCTAGAATTTCTGAAGATGATGGAGAACGTCCAGTAAAGACACCAGCTCTACATTCCTTGGTGATCCGTCCTCAGCGAGAAACTGAAGCACGTGTGTGATGGAAATCTGCTCAGAGCAAGCTCTAAATTCTAGGAGCCCGTCCACAAATATGTATAGGATAACTTTCTGAGATTTCAAAATGGATTCAAGACAAACACTGCAACCCACCACGTTTCCCCTTCTCACATGAAACCTGGGAACTTGTTGAGGATGTCTATAAATATCCATCCAAACCTTTTAAGACGAAGGCTCTCTTCCCCGGGTGCCTCCTTATGCCCACTACCCAGCTGTCCCCTTTGGCAGCTGCTGTTGCTCCAGAAATGCTACACCGCCACGCTGGCCCCGCCCTCCACTATCGCACGTCGCATATCTTCTCAACCCTAATCTTTACTTTCTAAATAAACCAACTTCTTCTCCCACTTTTTGGTCATCCTTGTAAATAATTCTGCTGTGCATGTCCAACATGTCTTATATTGTTCGATTTTTGTCTCTTGTGGCCTTTCTGGGACTTTCACATTACCTTTATCTGAATGGCCACATGATTCTCAGACACATGAACCTAGTTAGAGAGATCATTCAGATGACACACCATGCACTCTACAGCCTCCCTAGATTTGACTAAATCTTACTTCTCCAGTCCCAGATTCAAACTAGCCCCCATGCAAACTATAGTTGTATAGATGGTAACTAATATGCTCCTTGTCTTTTTAAACAAAAAAGAAGTCTCATATTTGACAAAATATCTGTTTCAAATAAACCTCTTCCGATTTAGTCTTCTCCTAAGCATGTAGCCTGTTCATGAAGTAGTCTTCCAGCACAGAAGTCAATAACCCTCAGATTATAGCCCCAAGCATGAGATGCAAACCCAAGAATCAAAGGCTTGAGCTGGACATTCACAGAGCGGATGAGTTAAATCTCCCCCTGCAACGTGCAGCTCTCCCTCTGGAGTATATAGTCTGCAAGCCCCCACCATCACCACCTCTCAAAAGCACCTCCCACCTCCTTCTCTTCAGGTCTGCTCCTCTTCTCAGTATCCTGTCCTCCCTTCTAGTCTCTTACCTTGGGTCCCTCCCTTGGGAACTGCACACCATATAAGGAGCAGCTGGTTGTGTTTAGAAAGTTAAGTAGCAGCATGGTCTGAAATCTGCCGGCTATTCAGGGCACCTCTAAGGAGAGGTTAGAGGTCTGGTCTCACAGCATTTTCCTCTTGGTTTAGAGTTTCCCATCCAGATTGAATCTCCATCACCACAAAACCCAAAGCTTACTCACTAATCTTTGGCTCCCCCTTGTTGTTTTCTGTTTTGTATTTACAAGGCAAAATAGAAATCAACAGTACACTGACATGCATGCACTGATGTGAGCCAAATTTGTGTTTGTATTTTATTATTTCGAAGGGAGGGTGGGCATCTTGTTTTAGGATCTCACTACTGAGAGTTGCAACGGGGCCTTTTCTAAGAAGTATGATGCTTTTTGATTTATTTTATAGAAAAATTCTGTATTTTCAGTTTTCTTTCTCTCTGGTTTTCCAGAGTGAATTCTCTTAAAGTAAGCTGGGTTCCTTCTCATATCCAACATCTGAGGACAATCTCAGTGTGATGCTTTCATGCATTTCCCCCACAAACTTTGAAAATGTATCCTTTACTTCTTTAGCATACTTATAACCACAACTTCAATAAAGTGGAGCGTTCACCTCGAAAGTGTGATTGGCTTGCCCTGGCCCCAGAACCCTAAAAGTTCAGGATACTAAATCTGGAGGCCTGTGAGAGGCAGGGGGCGGGACCTCCTTGTCCCGTTTAAAGTGTCTCTGAACCATCACTTGATGTCTAGTCTCTCTGTTGGGGTGCACACGGATTGACCACTCCTTTGGGCTTTTCTTTTATCCTTGGATATTTGGGGGGGAAAAGCTAATCCACAAACATGGTAAGACCAATCAGTTGTGCAAATGACCAGTTCAGCTATCGGCTGATTTCATTAGAGAGTGAGCAATAAAGGAATAAAGGCATGTGAATGTGTAAAAATCATTAGCTGAGTTTCTGAGAAGCATATTTCTTTCTGTTGGTGTTGTTCAGATATGTATATGCTGATTTCCCCTAAAATAGTTGTTTTTTCTTTTTAGTAATTCAGCATTTTTTTCCACTTAGTTTTTTTTTTTTGTTCTCTGCTGGTTTTGAGTTAAATTGATATGAAATATGCTCAAACTCATATTTTAGCCAGTTATCTGTTGTAAATAGACTACTTTAAATCCTTGTGGGAAGTTAACAATGGGTGTTGATGGGCAGGATGGGTGTCAGCTGGGAAGGTGCTGATTCTGCTTAGGCAACAAATTCCTCGGGATTGGATGTCTGCAGGCCTTATACAGCGAAGCTAATGTGTTGAGCCTGAAATAGCCGGACTAATTTTCATCAAGCTCAAGAATCCTTTCGAGATGCACCCATCGTGTGACTTGTGATAGCATGTTTCAGTATCATTATTACAACCATTAATCACTCTGTAAATATTACAGTCACAAGTTTAAAATATCAATCCTGAATCTCTGAACTGTACCATCTCCACTGTGCGTAAAAATACTTTTACGCACAGTGGAGATGATCCGTGTAGTTTAGGGGTGGGGGGTGGGGGGGTAGGTTGTTTAAAACGAATAGAAAATATGATAAAGAATTATTTTGCCACCGTGCTTGGCTAAGACAAGCAAGTTTAACTGGAACAATCAACTAAGCCTAAATGAAACATGTAATGAGTGAAGTGATGCACTGGACACTGCTTTCTTCCAGACTGACGCACAACAAGAGGCCCGCTCCTACCTGAGCGAGGACATGTTGGCTGGTGAGTACAGTACTAGTTGCTTAGCCTAAATAACGCCATTACAGTAAGCTATGAAATGAAACACGCGTGATACATGTTTTGAATTATACCACCCTTAAATGCAATCACACAATAAGCCAATCAGTTCTACTTCAGATCATTTTTTTTCTACCAGCAAGAGCTCGTACAGCCTAAAGAGAATGCAGATCCACGGCGTGAAGCCAGATGGAGCAAACTGGTATGAAAGAAAAACCAAGAATAGCACAATGAGAATTATTCACAAAGAAGCGGACCTCGCAGTTTTTCAGTCGTTAAAAGCAAACTGGGGTGCTATTTTAAAGGATAATGGTGTCCTATCGCAACGATTAATGCTCGGTGAAAAAGAACAATAAAGCAGAAAAGTACCAAACTGAGAAATGAGACCAGCTTGGAACAAACACACGCCTTCATTCAATTCTCGTTTCTCCAGAGTTCAAGGCCGCCTTTGACTTGTTCGACACCGATGGTGGCGGTGATATCAGCACCAAGGAGTTGGGTACCGTGATGAGGATGCTGGGCCAGAACCCGACAAGAGAGGAGCTGGATGAGATCATCGAGGAGGTCGATGAGGACGGTGAGAAACGGGAAATGTAGTTTATGCCTGATGGCGACACAGCAGAACAGCTGTGTGTCTTAAGTGTTTTTACACACAGGGACACTTTATGGTAATTCAGTAATTAGAGGTGGTGGTATTTCTAAACACCCCGTCAACATGACATTTTTACTGCACTAACAAATTCTGGGTTGTTCCATTGAACTCCCGGTGTTTCCATGCGTAAAACGGTCAACAAAGTTATCACGACAATGGGTTGATCTGATGCGTATCAATCACGTGGCTCCACTAAACCCTCAGGTAGCGGCACCATCGACTTCGAGGAGTTCTTGGTCATGATGGTGAGACTGATGAAGGAGGACCAGGCCGGAAAGAGCGAGGAAGAGTTGGCAGACTGCTTCCGTGTGTTTGACAAGTAAGCTCGCGCTCACACTGTTTACACTAATCGTTTGTGTGCGCGCGCGCGCGTGTGTTTTGTTTTGGGGGGTTTTTTTGTTTCTACATCACCTTTACTCGATCTTTACATTCACGTACATTTTGTTGTTGTCGCGTGCGCAGGAACGGCGACGGTTACATCGACAGAGAAGAGTTTGCCCTTATCATCCGCAGCACCGGCGAGGCCATCTCAGAGGAGGAGATCGATGAGCTGCTGAAGGAAGGAGACAAGAACAGCGACGGCATGCTGGACTTTGACGGTATGTGTCAAATGAAAATGATGAAGCTGTCAGCTCACTTATTATTGAACCTTGAGGAGTCTCTATGAAGGAGGTAGAGAGTGCATGAGGGGGGAAATCCTGTTTATTAAGAGGCTGCAGCTTTGCTAGAGTACCAATAAGCTGTAGCAGTCTTGTTCTATGGCATATCAGGTTTTACATTCAGACTTTAGGGACCATATTGTTGCCTGCTAGGCTGTGTTGTACAGTTCCTACACTCCTGTAATCATCTTAAAATCAAATCACACCCCGGCTTCCTGCTTGAGCTGAACTACTACCTGTTCCTTTACAGTTTATTCAAGTAAATAAAGAAATGGATGTAAAATGTAATGCTGTCCAATTTCTCTTTTCTTTATCAGAATTCCTCAAGATGATGGAGAATGTGCAGTAGAACAAGAAAGACTCATGGACATTCCTCCACCCTTCTGTGAACCCCCATTCTGACCCACTCCCTCCTTCTCCCTCTTGTCCACCTGGTTCACTGCCTTTCTTCTCCATCCTTATAGAAGTCCTCAACAGACAGCTAGAGCACCCAGTGGGGGGTCGCTGGCTGGGCAACATCTTTTTCCTGGCTCGCTTGTAAATGCAGACATCCCCTAGATGCCATGCTGACACCCAGCCCTGTAACAGGACAGCAAGGCTGCAACAGGGGTTTTTTTTCACTGCACACAGCTTTTGCAGTATGCATGGCATGTCGTGTCATCAGTGACCCCCTCCCCCTCTCTGCTGGTAAAGCTCTGATCTAGATGTATTCTAGATAGACGGGCAGCTTGTTACCTGCTGCTTAGACCAATTAATTCAATCACTTCACTGTATAAAGAAGTAATTTGCTTGAAATAAATGAACTAACACATGCTCACTTGTAGTTGGTCTGTCATATTTATGGTCTGTGTAATAATTTTGTTTTGAGGAATATTAATAAAATCTGTTTCTTTTCCTCTTTTTGTCCGTTTTGTTCCAACCACAGCCAGTTTTGCTTTTAAAATAACCAAAAGCCTCGACTGAGGTCAGAATGATTTGGACATTACGGACAGTCGGAAAACCTCAGTTCATCACGCATGTGGGCACAGATGAGGTCGGCATCATGTCTAGTATTCCTGGCTGTGCTGATAAAGTTTAATTGCGGGTTGCAAACTGTCTGCTTTGACATATTTACGACACTTTTCTATAAAAAAAAAAATCTGGAACACTCCTATTTTTGAATACCAGCAACTTGGGACTGGAACACATTTCCCTCTGTGTTTGGGAGACGATGATACCAGCTGGTGTAGTTTCCATCCATCTTCATCCGCTTTATCCGAGGCCGGGTCGCGGGGGCAGCAGCCTAAGTGTAGTTTTTACAAGGCAAATTGGCTTCTTTTTTTGGGTTTGTTTTTCACTCGTGCTTGACATAGGATTTCAGCTGCTCAGCAGTTTGTGGCTTAATTTACTGTATTGTGTTTTTTGTTTCATTACCACAGCGTGTCCAGAAGGGGGATATGAAGAGCAACCCTTCTCGTGTAATGTCATTTACACAACCTAAATCTATCTAAAACCTTTTCTTTAGATACTTCACATACATTTGAGGATTCAATCTGTGGGTTTAAGTCACATACTTATTTTTTCTTTACTTATTCAAAATAAAATCATGCTTAAATTCTTGTGCAGATCCACTCTTCACGTATCAGATTGGTAACACAGCACAATGCTGTGCTTTAAAACAAAGTGTTATGTTTTCTGGTTCTGGTGCTTAAAAAAAAAAGAAAGTTGTTTGTGCACAAGAGATGAGGACCTGGTTATTTTAAAACTATTGGCAAGTTGCTTTATTTTACATAACCAAAAAGTCTGAAATCAAGCATATACACTGAAATTCGTTGTTATTGTTATACGGTCTATAAACACACACACGACGCAAACATGCAGTCTGAAGACTGAATGAACTCACGAGCAAACGAACAGTAAATTAAAAGAAACAAAGGTCATGGGAGGAATAACAACCAGTCCCGTTGTGAGTTTAAGAGCCATAATTTGCTTCATCAAAAGCTTTCCGAGCTCTCTTCAGCTCCTCGTTCATGGTCAGCAGATCTTTGACTCTAGCAAACTTCCTGGGATCTTTGCGAATGAGGAAAACGATGTCCTCCACCTGGACGCGACCCTGGCGCCCGATAGACATGGCCTTGTGGGTCATTTCCGTGATAAACTCGATCACCAGATCCTCCAGAATATCCACAGACTCCGTGTAAGGGTTCTGGTCATCTCCAAATCCGTACATCATGCACCGGAGCTCCTTGGAGAAGAGTCTCTTTCTCTTGCCGTAGCCGACATCCACCCCGCCGGAGCCGTCCTCCAACTCTTCGTCGAAGCCTGGCTCGTCCTCCTCCTCCGCCATTTGCTGAAAAACACCCGCAAGCGTTATTCAAACCTCAACATTAGCTGCTCATTGTTAAATACGCGTTAGCATTAACCTTACCTTGTGCTTGTTCACGACTGTCTCACAACAACAGCTTGTTAAGTGCGCCGACTTCCGCTTTTGTTTCCTTGACTGAGGAAGTGGTGGTTTGGAGAGGAAACAGACAGGGCTAGAAATCACAGATACTCCCCCCTTGTGGCCAGTGTTTAAATTTACTCGTGTTATTCGTCAGTATAGCCAACACAGCTGACGGTGAGTTTCCTTTAAAGCACGATCTGTTTGATTGCATCGGAAGCCCAAACTTAATTTCATATCGCCGGGTGTATGCGGGAATCACCGACACGTAGCTTGCTTAGAATGTAAAAAGCTATATTCACGTGTGTTTAAGCTAAGCCAATTTCATTTGGTATTATTTTAGCTAAACCTTAGATCTAGACAAACTATGCACAATGGGCGATGGCAAGTTGGTGGTGTGAGTGGAAACAGGAGCATTGTTCAAGTGGCTGATCGAAGAACAACACCTCACAGCATTCGTGGAAAGAAATGGATCTCGGTGCTTGAACAGAGGGCTCAGATTCTAAGTAAACACTGAGAGCCTGACCGCGGGGGCTCAGCACGTGCTCATTGCCGTGAGTAAGTGACACGTCCCCGTGGATCTTGCTGTGGACTCCTGCCCTGCCAAGTGATGTTCAAAGCTTATCTCAGTCAACCGGATTGAGTATTATAGCTAATTACTGGCCTGATAATGTTAACAAGTCAATATAGATGCTAAATGACAGGCTAATGTTAGCTAATGAACTATAAGGCAAGTTAACGAAGAAGCCAGTTTGACTTATAAAACGTAGCAGCTATCCAGTGAGCCTTCCTCTCTCAGTCACTGTTGGAGCACTGTTGCTGGTGAGTTCGTTTGCTGGGGTTGTCTGATGTTCCTGTTGGTTAACGGACAGTTTTAAAGATTCGCATAACATTGTTACCAGCTGCTTATCCGCTAGCACAACCAGTTAAGAGAATGCTAGTAGCTGATAACGTTTAATTTGAGCTAAAATGAATGTTGCCGTTATGCTAACATTGTATCAAATAGGTTTCGCTTAAATTCTGTCTGAGCGCCTGTTCCACTAACTAGCATTAATATGCACAAACGCAGCCCTGCTCTTACCTTGCTTTTCTTCTCTGCGGTGTTTCTGCTGTAAAAAGGTCTGGTATGGCTGTTCGGGGAGGATGTGGGTTCAGGTCGGAGATGGCCCCTCTGCAGTAGCTGTGTGTTGTGGACAGCTGGTCCTGGCAGTCCCGTATGGCGTGCCCAGTCCAGTTCCTGTGCAGGGGGCTGCGCACTGTTGGATTAGTTCTTCTCTACTATGTCTTCTCTATAGGCATCACATTCTATAACAAATGGCTAATGAAGGTGAGTAAAGAAGCTCATACAGCCTTGTCAGTTTCTTATAACATGCTTGGTTGTGTTAAAGGTGATTAATGAAAATGAGCACCTGAGGACGCTCTGCTTTGCTTGTCTGGGGATCTCCTGGATCCTGAGAAAGAGACTTACACTGACTAGTCCATCCTAGATGACCCCAACTGTTTCTCTCCCTTTCTTAGGGCTTCCACTACCCCCTCTTCATGACTTTAGTTCACCTCACCATCATCTTCTGTCTGTCAGCTCTGACACGACAGGCTGTGCAGTGGTGGACAGGGAAACCTCGCGTTACTCTCAGGTGGAAAGAGTACCTCAGAAAAGTAGCACCCACGGGTGAGTTTTATCTTGAGTCTGGTGATTTAGACGGGGGACAGTCGCCTCTTATCGGGTTCACCGATTGACTAAGCTCTGTGGAATGCTTCGTCTAAAGTCCACGTGGAGAGAATAAATACGACAACCCCGACGAGAATGATGAAAATATCTAAAAGCAAGTGCATTAAATGAACCGTTCCAAACCAGTTTTGCCTCGTTTAAACTAAAATTCTGCACAAACTTAAGTTGTAATAAGATTAGTTTAAAAGAGTCAGAAGGAAAAAGTGAATCAAAGACTAAGAGAAGCAAAAATCCAGAGAAATTAAATCAAAAGTAATTAATATTTTGTTCTGTTTTACTGTATACACTAAAATGACATCAAGGTGATTTTAATATGTGAATAAAGGGCAGTGGGATTGATTATATACATACATGTTGTTGTTGTTTTTTTAGTGAGTATTTGTGCTCTAAATGCGTTTAGTCACTCTAAATGCACTGAAATGAGTGGTTTTAAAATGAACCTGTCATCCTGTACTCTTAAGTTCTGTCCTTCTTACCTGCAGCCATCGCAACAGCGCTGGATATTGGACTTTCCAATTGGAGCTTCCTCTTCATCACCATTAGCCTGTAAGTTTGTGGTTTGGACGTTTTTATTATAAGTTCATATGTGTCAGTATTTTATCTTAACCAGTCATTGTATTGTTCTTTACATATTCTACGACTTTTATTTTGTGTCATTCAAGGTATACCATGACCAAGTCCTCAGCAGTGCTTTTTATCCTGTTTTTCTCTCTGGTCTTTAAACTGGAGGAGCCGGTGAGTGTACCGATCACATGACACTGACAGCAGTGCTAACAGTGCAGTTTTGTCTTCACTTTAATGTCACCCAGACACAACTGGAGAATTAAGCATGCTTCTTATACAGGCAAAATGATGCAAGAGGCAATTCTTTTAGTCTGTTTCCTCGATTGTGGCGCAATGCACAAAGCAGACATCCAGCAATGTTCACAAAGTGCACTGTGGCTGTAGCAGAACATAAGAACTTTCTAATCTGAAAAAAGTCCTGCACCTGCACAAATTTATAACCGGTTCGGTTATAAATTTGCCAATTTTTCTTAATGGTGTCATAGCTTAAAGATTTAATTCTGTCCACCTTTAGCACCAAATCACAACAGTCAGTCACAGCGCTTTGAGGCGTTTGAGCTCTAACTGTGGTATTGTATCACTTCCTGTTACAGAGCACAGTGGTGTTTTTGTGCAGCTTGATGGGGGTTTCATCACATGAGCAGTAATGAGCAATCATTACCTCCCGTCTACTCTCTCCTCTAGCTTGTGCTTTGTTCTGTTCTTCTTTTACCTGTTATCCTCTACTTTCTTCTTCTGTTTCCTGTGCAATTTTAACTTGAAACTGCTGCGTGTCGTTGTCTTTTCTCCCTTTTAATCCAGAACCCGTTTCTGATCCTGGTGGTCCTGTTGATCTCCTGCGGTCTCTTTATGTTTACCTTTGAGTCGACCCAGTTTAATCTGGAAGGCTTTATTCTGGTGCTCCTAGCATCCTTCATAGGGGGGATTCGATGGACCCTCACTCAGGTCCTCACGCAGAAAGCAGAGCTGGGTAAGTGTTCAGCCACTGTGGAGTGACAGCTTCCAAAGAGGTTAAAAAGCCTATAACCTGGATCTACACCAATTAATTTTGGGCTGTGGCTTTCATCAGATATACAGTAAAACAGGATACACACGCCATTTC